CCTATACTTTCCTTTTCGCTGAGACTACGGGACGCTAGGAACGCTGATGGACGCTACTGGTCGCTGGTGGACGCTGCCGCAAAGCATGAAAGCACCCTGATCAGCTCATTGGTTCAAGAATCGTTCACGTTGATATAGTATTGCTATCTGAAGAATCCCCTCTACTACGCAATTTGAGCGTTTCTCTGACTTCCGTTTCTGCCTTCAGGTTTCTCACCTCCTTCACTCACGTAACTGTTTTACCAGATTACTGCCTACTTCACGCTTAATGTTTCTATCCGTGCCTATGCTCTCAACTCAATTCCTTTGTCCTCAACTTTCATTCCAACTGTGATTGCATACACTAGTACTGAGTAATCAATTATTTCTTCTTTGATATTCCATCAATTGCTCGTGCTACAGGTTCAACGACTTTTTGGAAGAGCAACGACGATCCGCGTGTCTGAGGAAGGAAGAGGAACACGAGTATGATAGTCTGAAAAAACCACATTACTGCAATGCATCCTTGTTCAGACTAAGGCGATTCTAGGCCGAATAGATTTCATTGTTACTTTTGACCTTTCGGCCTATCTAGTACAGTGTAGTTCGCTGCGGACGGTTGGGCGTGTCAGTGCGGCTGCGTTTGGCGCGGTGCCAAACTCGTTCTCCACCAGTTGTTGAAGCGGGCAAGTGACAATACTGTATCATATCCTTCGTATTACTCGTTTTCTACCACTTTTTGTCGCATGCGCGTTTCAACAAGAAGGCAGAGAACGGCTTTGACGGGGTGACACACTCATACTGGCTGACACGCCCAACCGTCCGCAACGAACATGAGGGTAACTATCGCAGTAAACATTATTAACTGGCTATCCGAATGATAGTGTGTAGAGCACTTGGTAATGTGCCCCTGTCTGCCTATGTTCGTCTCTCTGTCATCCATCCGTTTATACTTGATGTCGTCGCAATCAGTACAGGTGGTGTCAGGAGAGGGGGTTTGAGGTTTTCTTCCGGCTTCCTCTTTCCTGAGTGATCGGTTAGTGGCCGATCAGGACGAAGGCAACCTGTGGCGTTGATGCCACCGCTGAGCCCACTTCCTGCCTCCTATCACTGCCCCGGCTGATTGCGACGGAGCATTAGTACATCTGGATCAAAAAGGGTGAGATGGGTCCAGTTTAAGGTAGAGATTGTTCAATATATGAGTTGTAGATCCGCATGTTCAGTTTATGGGCAGTAGGCCCGTATCGATCAGAATTAACTGTTCCTTCATGCTGGGCCGAAAATACGTGTCGTATGGGCCATTCCCAGCGAAGATGTATCACGGCCGAATTGGCAGCTCTCTTCCGGCACTACGCTGGAGTTCGAGGTGGTCAGTCAGTTTAGGCACTTGTGACCAGTTGTATTTAAGAACACGGATTGCAGACAGTGCCCTGAATTTAAGTCTCCAAATACAGCCACTAGGATAGATCAGCGTGTTTTCAGTATGATTCGAACTCATGGGAGAAGGCTTCGTGTGCGGTGTATTGGAGAAACCGAATTTCGGACCAATACTTTAACGGCTGGTGGCAACTACGGCGAAACTGGCTTCGGTGGCTCTCCTGCTGCAGAGAGCCACCGAAGGCAGCTTCACTGAGGTAATGATGGGTATGGAGAGAGTATGGAAGGCACTCATCGCACCCTTCGCATGGAAGCAATCACTTGGTTGTCACCGAGCACTCCACGTGGGCCTCGCCTCCTAATACGGAGAAGAGAAGAGGTGCAGCATTGAGAAAGATGCAACTGTAGGTCACTCTGCTCATATGAGCAGTGTGGGAAGTATCTTTGAAGCGAGGTAAAAGTCCCATTTTTTCCCCGAGTTACTCCCTTTGGCCTACCATTTCTCAAAGCAGAGGGGCAGCCTACGGGTTCCATTTGAAGGCAAACAGCACACTCAGTTCCGTGGATCTTGGTTCTTGCCATTGTGAGGTGAATGGGAGATGCACGCCGTACTGTGCCGTGACGCGCCACTTTCTCCTGTCAAGGGTGCATCGAGAAGGAGTAGTAGAGTGGTGATACCTGGGTGCGCCTCCATACTTCGCCCGCGCTGTCGTACGGCCGACCACACGCGCAACCATAGCCAAACGCACTATTTGTCTGCAAGCTCTCACTTCTGGTTGTTTTCTATATGAGAGTGTGCGTTTCGCTGCGGTACCTTGGCATCAACCTTGAGGATCGCGCAGCCGAACCTTGGAGGTGGCACTCGTGGACCGCTAACCTCCAGCCCCGTTCACGTGCACTTTTGAGCAGAGAACGTGGGACGCTACTGCAGTTGCAGAACTATTCGCCTCGCACATTCCTTCGGTGATGAGTGTGCAGCTTGTTGTTGAGGTGATGGTAGTATGCAATTGGCAAAACTGCTTGCGTTTATAGTCTTGCTTGCTGTGGATGATGGGGCGTGCTGGCACGGCTGCGTGTGGCGCAAGGTGAACCCGTTTCTTTTCTTTTTTTTCGGCAGGCGACAAGACTGCATCATATTGTACGTACCAGCGTTCTCCACCATGTGTTGTCACTCGCCCGCTTCAACAACTGGTGGAGAGTGGACTTGGCGGTACGAAAAGCGCAGCCGCGCGTACGCTCGAAATTGTCTGGTCGCATTGAATGATAACGCGAGATGGAACGTGGTAAAGGTTGCCAGAAGTACTGTATGCTCGGAACTAGGCCCACGAACTCCATAACAGTGGGTCCTCTGTCAGCTGGATGGTCCCACTGGTGCCGTCGTGACAAACTTTGGTTTGGCTCAAGCCAGTAGCGTACCTATCTGTAGCTGACGTCGGGATCAGACGGCACCGAACTACCTACCAACTTCTCAAATACCTAGACTCCATACAGTCTAGTTCGCTGCGGACGAAGGGGCGCGTCAATCGGGTTATTTTGGCACGGCGCCAAACCCATCCCACCAGTTGTTGGAGCGAGCAAGCGATAAGACTGCATCATTTCGTTCGTAGCAGTCGTTTTCCACGTGCTGCTGTCGCTCATCCGCTTCAACAACCGGTGTAGAACGAACTGGCTGTGCACCGAACTCGCCCTGTCCGACACGCCCCGTCATCTATACTGAACAAGACTATACAAGTGGGATCATTGGCATCATTCCCGCACTTCTCATGGACAAAGTTCGAGATTCATTCTTATACAGAAGTATGGAGATACTTCGTAGCTCGCATTTTCATCAACAAATGATGATGACCTCGCCCATCCATCAAGGGATCCGAAGTCGACAAGCTGCTACTGCTTGGCTCGAACTGTAGCCATCTGGTCCAAGTGAACCCAAAAGACCAGCGGCCAAGAAGTCCAATCTTTCGCCGTCGCTCTAGACTTTGATGGAATGCTCTGCTGCCTCGAGCGAGAGTTTTCGTCTGACTCGGTCAGCAGGTCACTTCAGCCGAACGAGACGATCAACAGGATACCGTCGTCCGCATCGCAACGGGGGCGAGAAGAGACTCCGGAAGACGACTGCATATCCCCGATGAGCCGATTGCTCTCTTTTGTGCGTCTATATGCGTCTCTTTCTCTTCTCGTCTAGACTGTCGCACCCATCGCCGCTCTCGCGGCCACACCCCTGATAAGCCCGAGATATGAAGAGCATGTAACTCCAATGATGATAATGATACAGGTATCTGGACTTCGTTCAGTCCTTTCTTTCAAGTTTTATTGACTTTTGCCTTTATTTTCAAGTTTGGCCAGAATGTGTCGACTTACCTTGATGAAGTACCACGCTGGAAATAGACATATGGAAGTCGAGTCGAGTAGCGCGAAAAATCCGAATGGAATCCAGTACTCAAGTTGATTGATGGCTTCGCCAGAGCTCTTGCTACGGATCGCCTGAAGGTGGCGATTACCACAGGTGAAGCCACAGAATACTCAACGTAGTGTTTACCTCGACGCTAACGTGTGCCGGGTAGAAGAACGTAACGAGGTAGGACACGAACATCGCCTCCTCACCGACCATGAGGTACAAGCTTGTCAGGGCGATCAAGTCCATATGCAATCTATAACTGCTCAATCTTTGTCAAGAAAGCATCTGGAAAAGCTCGTACTGACGTGTTCTCGCTTCACTCCGGCTGCGTCAACCTTCTTCAGTTGTTCATCAGCTGCAGCACCATGAGACTTGTAGCACCAAGCGACCAAGTCTGCCGTGAGCCTTCTTCAATCCTTCGATAGGATTTCCTCCTCCACCACCGGCACTTGACGGGGGTGCATCGGAGGAGGCAGGCGATGGCTTGCTCATGGATGCTGGAGGTAAGTAGAAAACTAGGAAGAAATGAACCTTACTCTTGGTGTCCTATTTATACATTGATAGCGAGCTGATACGTGCTTAAGTACGACACATTAGAATCAATATCATTGTAAAATGAAAACAATCAGGCTGCATTGCACACCTTGCACCTAGAAGACTATGGGATTGAATGAAATCGAGCAATCCTGCGAAAAGATACATATCGATCTGGAGTGTGAGAAAATCGAGAAAATAGCAAGTAGTAGTTTTATTGTCCAATGTCACAAAATGAAATGCGATCTCATCATACAAACCTTTTATGGCAGACTAGTCAACAGATGTGTTTAGTCCGGTTCCTACTTCATGAACATATCAGGCAGAGGAAAACGGATTGTAAGATAGCAGTCCTTATGAACTCCTGCTTTCTTATCTGAATTTTTGGATTTTTTCACGTAGAGACGAATTGCTGAAAATATAAGATAACCAAAAGTAGGCCAACTACATACATCTAGGGAAAAGATCAAAGGGCAGTTTCTGATTCTCCAGCAAAAGACCACGACTCCTTCACAGTGCGCAATCAAAATAGTGTTCATGGTGATCTACAAAGTCTCAAGCCAGATAGCCTGGTGCCGACACGTTTCGCGTAATCACTATGCTAACCCTGATGAACGGTACTGTAAACGGTTATCAATGCCATCCAAAGGATGATGTTTACTGCATGCCCAAAATTTCAAAAGGTGCTATCGAACTATAGTGTAGTTCGCTGCGGACGGTTGGGCCGTCGTCGCTGCGTATGGCGCTGTGCCAAACTCGTTCTCCACCAACTGTTGAAGCGAGCAAGTGACAATGCTGTATCATATATTAATAGTAATAGTTTGTGTTATTATTTACACCCCAATCTTTCCGCGCAACTAGGCCGTTTTACCGTATTTGCTACGAGGCAGATCGTCCTGAAAATTTACTTACAGGCAGTTCGACTTTCTGACGCGTATACCACATCCGCTGAGTTCGAAATTGCCTAGCGCCTGCGCCAAAATACCCTTGATCATCAAATTCGCTGAAACCTTGTGCCTAGAGGTAATTTGACCGCTCGAACATGAATATCACATCCGCCTGGGCCAAAACCAGCTGACGCTCGCGCCACAGGCGCCGGCTCCAAAACACCATAATCACCAAAATCGATGAAAACTTAGAGACGGGAGTTATTTGACATCCTGATTACGGATATGACATTTATTCTTGGCGCAGGCGCCAGTGTAACACTATGATCATCCGCGCTCTGCTAAGGCTGAGCCTGGCCTCAAGGGAACCACTCATCCTCCCACATTGAGCCTTAGCAGAATGCTAAATTGCGCTTTTGTCGAGAAATAAGTGCCATAATAGTGCCTGCCATAATATTTTGAGTAAGTACTGTAAACGGTTATCAATGCCATACATCAAAAACAGCCCTGCTTTGCAAGTTTTTATCGATTTTGGAGGAAAATTAAGTGGCGCCAAATTTTCGCCTATTTTCGCCAGGTGACGCCAGCGTTAAAAATAAATGCCATATTCGTGATCAGGATCTCAAATAACCCCCGTATACAAGTTTTCATCAAGTTTGGTGAGAAAAGGATGGCGCAAATGGCGCCAGCGCGCAAATGGAATGCTCATCAGATATAAACAACATCTACAGGCACAGTTCCAGCCAAAAAACTCACTGTTCAACTAATTTTTACCCCATTTTCCGAAACAGCGCGATCTTGATCGAGTTTCCTCTACGGGAGCAAATGGCTCTGAAAGAGGATCTAGGAGTAATTTGACCTTAGTGAACACGATTCGGACACTAGCACCGCGCCAAAGCTACCCTAGATCACCCAAAATCCGCTAAAATCTGTACCCAAAGGTAGTTGGACCTCCTGAACACGATTATCACATCCGCTCAGCCTGAAACCGCTCAGCGCCCGCGTCACAGGAGCCGGCGCTAAAAACGCTCTAAATCATTCGCCGCCCGTGCCGGTCGCCAGGTCTTCACAGGCCAAATGGATGTGATACTGGTGTTCGCGAGGTCAAATTACCCCTAAAGCCCAAATTTCAGCCAAATCCTGCCCCCGTAGAAAAAAGTCGATCAAGATCCGGCCTGTTTTCGCAAAACTGGGGTAGTAATAGTTGAATAGTGCCAAAAATTTTATGTGAGTTACTGGGAGAAGTTCAATAGTGCCGTACAAATTTTTGGTCCATGAAATCTAGGTTGTAGGAGTATCTGCTGGCTTTGATTACGATTTCGATGTTCTTTTTCGCAGTGGCGACATGTTGCGCGTGGGCAATCCCGCGTACACTCTGTTCTCAGGTTTGTAACGAATTCAGTGATGGAAAGCTTGGTTACTAAGCAAAGTGGTCGTATGTTTCAGAGGACGTTCTTGTTCGGTCATCGCAAACGCTCATAAGAATCCGGGAACTTCGTATTATAGAAATGCGGACTTTCACTATGAGGATTTAAAATCATCAAACCTTATTAAACTTGCCCATAACTGAACATTCTTGTGATAACACTAACCTAATGTTAACCTTCTTGGCTTCTGACCGCAGAAGAGCGCAGGAAAAACCAAGTGCCTCTGTAGGGTCATGTTTGAAATCCAGGCAGAATGGGCGATCCCCGGAAAACTCTTTTTCACTTGAGATTCCCTGTTAGGCTCTTGCAGGCACTTAGGGTCTACGGCGCCACTCTTAATTCCAGACAAACTGTCCCGGCCCTTTCAAGAACTCTCGAACCTCTGATAATAGTTATCACAATTGCAATTCTTGTGATAACATTCGGAACGCGTACTGCGGCGTTAAACAGCAGTTATCATAACAAAACAGCTTCAAAAACATCTAAAGCCTTAGGCCTCGCGGTTTCATGCCGATATCCCATCGATTACGGCTGACCGGCTCACCAAGTTAAACGTGTGAGTGCTGATAGGCTACGGCATAAAAGCCGTTATAAGCTGAGAGGTAAAAGCGGCCACTGGTGGCGTAACGGATAGCGCACTCGCCGGAAAGCGTGAGGTGCGGGTTCGACTCCCGCCTGGGGCACGACTTTTGCCCACAACTCAGCATTCTTGTGTCAAATTTCGGGAACGCGCTACTGCGGCGATTTCAACACAGGTCTATATAACAAAACAGCTTTCTGATAACAGTGTTTCTTTACCGCATACCCATTCAAGGATAAGAACAACAAAATACGAGACCTTTTCACGACAACCTCGACGATATCTTTTGCACTTTTCACGGAAATCTCTCCGAAAATTTGACACCGATGGTTGTGACGTAGGCCGACCAAGCAGTTAGATGGTAGCTCAGGGATCAAATTACCTCCGAGAACAAATTCCTAGCCTAATCTGTTCGCGGACAAGTTCTGGGAAATGAAGTTCGAACTTTGATGGACAGGGCAGTTAAAGGCGTGAAAGGTTTGCTAACTTTCTCTCTACACTTTCTGTGACTTCGCAGGCTGCTTTACCATTGTGTCACCGAAGCCTGACAAATCTCTCTCAATTCCACATCTTCATCCAAACTTCCTCTAATGCGACATGCACCGCCTTGAGTCCTGATGAACGTTTCCCAAGTTTCTCTTCTGCCAGGTTGTGATTGTCAACAAGTGCGAGTAAATTGATGTTGATGCCAATTTCGGCGAATGACAAAACATTGTAGCGTTTGCCGTCGGAGAGTACTCTCGACTGACGAGAACAATTGGAATCGCTCGGCTTTATGTCGGGCGAATGGGGCGATTGAACCCCAGGTCTCAGTTCTTTGTGTCCCAGCACTGCCCTACAATACAGTTACTCGGGGTTTGGCACTATAACGAGCAACGGACCTTCTTGTAGTTGTGTGGTATCATCCATTGTCGATCTGACAAAGCTTGGCTGACGCGCACTACTCGCTCATGGGAACTATGAATGTACCCCGTGAGCAGGATTCTGGATTGAACCCCGAACACTCGCCTGATTTCAAATTTCTAGAATACGGGCCATCTTCATTATGATTCTCCTATTAATGAACGTTTGCTAATGTCTGGTGCTTATCACATTTCTAAGAAACACTCACCATCCGTTGGAAATAGGACAGCTTAGCGGTTGAAAGACTTTTGATGGTAATAACATCGATATCATGGTGATATATCCTCACATTTCTCACATCCTAGTACTTCCGTTGAGCAGCTTCCAGGGCTTTTAATTTTCGTCGAAACTCGAGAGCTTAGCGGTCGTAACCATATCGCTAAGGGATAGAATACTTGACTCACGAAGCCTCTAACACTGTCTTGGCACCGGGGTAAAGATTATCTTCGCGTGGTGCAGGACGTGATAACAGCTTATCGGCTTATCAGCTGTTATCACGTCCTGCCACCAATACCAATAATGTTCCCATCCTGCCCCTATCTAACTTCTTGGAACCCACATCCCGTCGTCTCTGTGGTCCGCGCTATGGAGCTGGTGACCCTTCCTTTTTAAGGCCCCTTGTGGTATCTTATCAGCTGCTTCCTGTCACCCACCAATAATGTTCCCATCCTGCCCCCTATCTAACTTCTTGAAATCAACGTCCCATCGCTGCTGTGGCCGGTGTTATGAATTAGGTAGCTCACTCTTTTCAAGGCCCGTTGTGGTATCTTATCAGCCGTTATCACTTCCTGCCACCCACCAATAATGTTCCCGTCCTGCCTTCTATCTTACTTCTTGGAACCAACGCTCTAGTCTTGCTGTGACGCGCGTTATGAATTTGCTGACTTCGCCTTTATACGGCCCCTTATGGTATCTTATCAACTGCTATCACTTCCTGCCACCCACCATAATGTTCCTGCCGACCTCCTAACATCAACTATCAGTTTGAGCGCATTATCACTGTTTGAAGAAGTGTATGAATTTCCGGTCAAAACACACACAAGACCATTCACATACACACACACACCAACAACAACTTAGCGAAGCGGATTAATATAGTAGGATTATGAGATTGCTAGTGGGACATCTATTCAATTTTGCCTAACGTTCCGACCGTTCAAAGATAGAACCTGCGCTAGACAGATTCGTAAGATCCTTTTTCATGTATACCGTACCGTACGGCATACCATATATGACTGCAACTTCTGACTTCCGCACCGCCCTCGTTACTCGTGGCGGAGCTGCGGAAGTGGATAATCTTTGCACTTATAGAGTTATTCGCTGCGAAACAGTGGTTCAGGCAGTAATGGACTGTGCCACGGTGAGGAGAAATTCGTTTTTCTGCCAATTGTTGAAGCAGTACCGAGACAACAGTTGTTGGAAACGATGATATGAACGACATTATAACAGCTTGTCACTTCTCGCTTTAAGCAGCTGGTAAAACGGTTTGGCACTGTGCCAGACTCATTCTGCCTGATTACGCCCCACCGTCCGCACAACATACTATATGTACCGTGTATTTAACGAGGAAGAAATCCTACAACATTTGTTGAGCACGGCGCTTGCCTAGCTGAAGTTCAGGTAAAAAGTACTACCGCACACGAAGCACCAGTCCTACTGTAAAAAATCACCATCGCGCATAATCACTAAAAGATAGCATTTAATAGGTTTTTAAGCATCCGCAAAGTCGTCAAACTGTGTTTAGTACCATACTTAATCACGGTCATCTTGGTATCTTGCAGTGCTGAAGAAGCTGTGTGTTTCCAGGACGGCAAGGCGAAGCGGAGACTAACCAGTTTCTTGACCCCTGCATAGAGAGAATCAAACGATAAAACCATCGGATCAACCTTTGAAAAATAGCATTTTGGAATAGTTGTGGAAACCATGAGCGGGCGTGAGCTCGCGCAAGTCAGATCTGCTCTACCGGGCAAACCGATCTCTCGAAGTAAAATGCTTCATATGTTGATGTGTAATAAATACAAATCTAACACAGTCGTCATTCATTAGACTTGAATTAAAATTAGCGGTTAGATGATCTACTGTGTTACATTCAACGTGAAACCAGTGGGCATATTTTGCATTGTTCAACTTTTACGGCGGATGTGACTTGTCTGATGATAGATGATGTGAGAGGATAGAAACATCAATCTGTAGGTAAAGTACGGCTCTCAATAAACTCGACATAGTTGTAGTACTGCGGGATTTCTTCTGTAGAAATCCTCAAGCTCATTAACCTGTACATCAGCTAGCTCCGCTAGTCATTGTAGTCACATCGCACTCATATACAACTACGATTCCGAAGGAAAGTAGAGTACGTCTCGCTCCCCAAAAAGGGATTCATCAGCGAAAAATTCATCCTTTATCCCCCACTCGACTGTTGCAGCCCTAAAATGCCATTTTATCGCTCAAACATTACTGACAAAGAAAGAAGTTATCAAGGGAATGCTTTGATATTGTGCAAAAGGCTGGATAATAGAGTCCTACAAAGGACCTGCACCTTCACCACAAGCTCACCGTACTGAAGTAACCATAATACCACCAACCGCCTTCTGCCCTCAAAAATAGAAGGCAATTCCATAAACGGTAGAAGGCTTTTGTCACGTAATGGTTGAAACACCCGTTCGGCAACCACGACGGTAGCTTCGCATTCTCATTGAAGCCTAGTCTTTTGTCTATAATTCAGCGTTCCTGCAAACACTTCCGGACCTATAAACTTCAATAATTCTTCACCAAGCAGCGGTTCTCACAATAAACACTATAGCAACCGGGAATTTTCACCCACCGCAAAGATAGACACCCATGCAGTACTATCATTTGGCTCGTCGAAGACCAACTGTGCGCTCATCTCCTGTGAATCTTAATCCTTGAAGTGTTTACGGAGAATGGGTCCGCAGCTGCAGTTAGATACCACTTTCTTCGCCCAAATATGCACGGAAACGGAAGGTAATATGCAGGATGTCGTCTCTATACTCCGCCCGTGTTGCCGCGGAGTATGGAGACCAATCATACGCCCAATCGAACGTGCTACTTGTCTGCGCCCTTTCACTTATGCTTATCGCTGAATGCAGGCCTCGCTGCGTGAACTTCTTTTGAAGTGCTGCACACATTAGCACTGATGGTACAGATAGAATTTCAAAGTCGTGAAATGACAAGTGGTCGGCACGAAGCTCCTAGGATGATGTTCTGGTTCACTGAACACATTTCATATTGATCCGTAGCAGTCAGTGGGGGCGGAGTCAGGAAGGAGCGGAATCAGCCCAAATCCGGCTGCTTTTCTCTACCATATAACCGGTTAGTCAAATTCTAGAGAAAAAACAAACCGATTGATGAAAACGCGCGCAATGGGTCCATTCCATGCCTTCTGACACTGCCCGACTGGTAGCGACAATGTCAAATGTATGCACATGAAACCGTTCAAACTATAGTATCCCCTTCGGTCAGTAGCTCTCAAACTCGTTTCGGTTTTCCTTAACAACCTTCATAAGCATCGTTACAGCATTCACAGGCTATATAAGGAATAGCTATGATTCTCCTTGTGAAGAGCGGAGCATGCGCGAAATCTAATCGGAGGTCATTCAGTTTCTGCTTTTTCTGTTTTTCGGGTCAGTCGCGGCTTGTAATCTCACTGTTGTATCTCTTAGAGCGACCTTGTTCCGACCATCATCCTCACACACTCATTCGGTCTCTTCCGCCAGCCACCGCCTCAATGCCTTCCGAAGGTGTAAGTACATTAAGCTTGCGATTTGTGTTTTGTTGAGATTGAGAGGAGAGTGTAGAGCTGTCCTTTTGAGGTTGTCTTTTAGAGAGAATGTATTTCTATTCACATTGGACAAGCAGGAGCCCAAATAGGAAATGCCTGCTGGGAACTCTACTGCTTGGAACACGGCATAGACCAAAGTGGATTTTTGGATGAATCAATCGATCAGAAAAGAGTGGACTTCATCAGGTGGTCTGTACTCAAAAACAAACCGCTTACCAAATCTTCCACTTTTTTGAAAGAATGTCTTCAAAATATAAAAGCGTGCTCGTTATGAAAAGGGTTTCCCTGATGGGACTTTTTCTCCCTTTCCTAGACGTTCCAAAACTTACTCACCTCAATGACAACTCTTGTGCGCAAAATTTTATGGGCGTAGTTCAGCGACAGGGGGGGGGGGGAGAGAGGAGGGCGCATTTTGCACCTTCGCTGCCTCACTACTTCCGGTTTACAAGTCTCATTCTGGTGAAACCGTGAACTCTTATGAAGCTGGAGCAAGCTCGACGAGCCACCATGGTAAAACTTGTCAACTCAAGAAAAGGCTCTCTTGATAGGTGGGAACGTTGATGGGACGTAGCAAAAGTGCAAATATGCCCCCCCTCCGGTCGCCGCACTGGCTCCTTTTGCGTTTCTCCGCAGGAATGCTTGAGAAAAAGGCGGCTCATTGCTTTCTTTAGAGCAAATAGATCTGAAGAAAATGATGCATACTCAATATAATGTATTAGTCACTATTTACTCTACCCTATTTCAGTCGCTTCAAGCATTTTATTCCGAGTCCAATAATGGGAAGTTCGTACCACGTGCCATCTACATTGACCTCGAACCTACTGTATTGGGTGAGTTATTTCTAGTTACAGCTTACGTTGTACAGCAAAAAACCATACCAAGAGCTGCGAGAACTCGGAAAATGCATCTCTGGTCGGTGACACCCGCAATTCGCTTTGCAGCTTGGACTATACTGATTATTACCGTAATGGAATAAATATGTTCGACTACATATATTTTGCGATAATCGTGTGTTGTGAGGCACACAACTGGTGGCAATCCCTCATCGTCGCGCTCTCCTTCTTACCGTATTGAAAGGAGGCTTACAAAAATAAGGTTTACAGCCGCGGAGAAAAACATGGGACAGACCCAAGTCGCGCGCTTTTTAATAGCTTTATGTGTTCTACGTGTGAGAACTTTGTTTGCTCAAACCAGGTACGCCTAACTGCGATGAGGCGCTTCCCCTTCCACCTACCTACCCATTTCCCACAGTTCCCAGTTTTTCACTCAAAGATTTTCCGTAGAGAGGGGGGGGGGATTTTTCATTTTCCAGATTCTTCGCAACTTCTCGCCACTCCCTCCGGAATTTACCGAAAACTTTCCTGCTCTTCCCGAAAATTTTGCTGTCGAGCGGCGGTGAGGGGTATATAGTACACATGAAGCAGGAAAAATCACGAAAAGTCAACAACCGGGGAAAATTTGTTTCCCAACGCGGCAAATTCCTCTCAAAGCCACATACTACCCCCATTCCCCCGCCAAATAATACGACACCTATGTGTTCCACACAACCGGTGCCTGTACCCTGTATGTAGAGACGTTTTTTATCTTCGTGACGAGTACTACGTAATTATCACAAGAATGCTGAGTTGTGGGCAAAAGTCGGACCACGGGCGGGACTCGAACCCGCATCTTCTGCTTACCGGGCAGTTGCGTTACCACTTACGCTACCGGGGCCACTTTTGACCTCTAGCGGATAAGTAGTTAACGGCATTGAGCTGAGAGGTCAAAAGTGGCCCCGGTAGCGTAAGTGGTAACGCAACTGCCCGGTAAGCAGAAGATGCGGGTTCGAGTCCCGCCCGTGGTCCGACTTTTGCCCACAACTCAGCATTCTTGTGATAACTTTCGTATCGCGCACTGCGGCGTAAAACAGCAGTTATCAAACAAAAACAGTCTAAAACTTGTAAAAAGCCTTCAGCCTTGCGGTTCACTGCCGATATCGGCTAACCGGCTCATCACGTTGAACGTGTGAGTGCTCGAAGGCAATGGCACAATAGCCATTGAGCTGAGAGGTCAAAAGTGGCCCGGTAGCGTAAGTGGTAACGCAACTGCCCGGTAAGCAGAAGATGCGGGTTCGAGTCCCGCCCGTGGTCCGACTTTTGCCCACAACTCAGCATTCTTGTGATAACTTTCGTATCGCGCACTGCGGCGTAAAACAGCAGTTATAACAAAAACAGTCTAAAACTTGTAAAAAGCCTTCAGCCTTGCGGTTCACTGCCGATATCGGCTAACCGGCTCATCACGTTGAACGTGTGAGTGCTCGAAGGCAATGGCACAAATAGCCATTGAGCTGAGAGGTCAAAAGTGGCCCCGGTAGCGTAAGTGGTAACGCAACTGCCCGGTAAGCAGAAGATGCGGGTTCGAGTCCCGCCCGTGGTCCGACTTTTGCCCACAACTCAGCATTCTTGTGATAACTTTCGTATCGCGCACTGCGGCGTAAAACAGCAGTTTATCAAAACAAAAAGCAGTCTAAAACTTGTAAAAAAAAAAAAGCTTACAGCCTTGACGGTATCACTGCTCGGATATCGGCTAAACCGGGCTCAATCACGTAAGTGGTGCAGTGCTCGAAGGCAATGGCACAAATAGCCATTGAGCTGAGAGGTCAAAAGTGGCCCCGGTAGCGTAAGTGGTAACGCAACTGCCCGGTAAGCAGAAGATGCGGGTTCGAGGAGTCCCGCCCGTGCGTCCGACGATTTCTTGCCCAGCTCTCAACCTCAGCATTCTTTACGCTGTGATAACTTTTCGTATCGCCGCACTCGGCCCGTAAAACAGCAAGTTATCAAACAAAAACAGTCAAAAACTACTAATTAGCTTTACCACACATGCACGAAAGCTCGGCTGCGTAGGGTGAAAGCCCATCGCGGACTTGACCCAGACCGCGCTTGCTGGTAAGTGTCACGAACACATGAGATCAGTGATATATCTAAGGCGGACGAATCAACCAAAGGATTTAATAGCGATGTTATGTGTCGTATATTGTAGCAGTTACACTCGGATCCAGATCCGGGCTGGACGAAGAGCTCTACTCGCTCTTAACTTATCTCATTATGCCTCCGTGAACTTCGCCGAGCTGGCCTGGCTTCGCCAGGCGCCTCTCCATAATGGAAGCGAACTCTTTCAATCACTGGGTTGTATCCTGCTTGGTACGGCAGCTTGTGTACAGTAGCTAGTCGAACTCATTAACAGACAGCAGCGCCACCCTGCGGATCCCTGCACTGCTCTAACACGATGTGAACATTAACTCGGCGGCCCTCCACCATTCGTCTACCTTGCGTCGGCATTAATTACGTCTTATAACATTTCACTAGATGTGATAAGATCTATAGACACCTCACGCATTCAGATGCAAGTGTCTTGCGTGGATAGCTCTAACATAGATTGTCGGCCCCCCATGCAAGGGTGAACTATAATACCCCCCTCTTCTCTCCTCGTCGTTCTGTCATTCGCGTCTTATATAATATGTAGGTGAAACTTTCGATAAGAAAACTAAGTAGTCACTGACTTCGCTGTTTGCTTAGGCGGATATTAGAATACACACTTCCCCCCCTTCGCTCCATCCGTCTCTCGTCGACATACATTTATGTAAGTGGATACTGCGTACGCTGGGATGAGTTCGATTTTCAATTCGTATCAGGACTGCTCTGTATGGCTGTGAAAAGTTTCGCCCAGTGAAATCCTTTTAGCTTCACGCAGTCATGTGTATTGGTGAATAGGATGTCCGTGAAACTGTTCCTTATCCTAATTTTATCAATTGATAGAATTGCCTGTACCTCAACAAGTGCCAGGTGGTTGGAGTCTTACACCTTAACAACTGACACGTCCTTATCAGCCCCTATCAGCTGTTATCACTTCCCGTCACCCGCCGTCGCCGTCCCCATCTCCCTGTTTATATCATTTGCTGAAATCAACGCCCAGCTGATGCTGTGTCCCTCGTTATGGATATGATGACCTTCCCCATTCTAACTCCCCTTATCAAATCTTATCAGCTGTTTAGCAGTTCTTGTCACAAACTAATGGTATTCCTGTGCCATAGCCTGTATCATACCTTGAAACAAACCTGACTACCCCTGCCCTTCTGAGGCCTCTTATCGGATCTTATCAGCCGAAATCATTCCCTGTCACCCACCAATGATGTTCCTGTCCCATAGCCTATATCATACTTTGAAACTAACGTCCCATTGTTGCTGTGTCTTGCACTATGAGCTCGGTGACTCTCACAGTCTATGACGCCTCTTATCAGTCTGGTATCAATCCCTGTCACCCACCAATAATGTTCCCGTCACAGCCTGTATATTACTGCTTGGAACCAACTTCCTACAGCAACTGGGACGGTCGCTATGAATTTCGTGACAGACAGACAGACACACACACACTGCTGAATTCTACTATAGTAGGAGATTTCTTAGCTTTCCTAACCCTAACACTGTGCTTTGAAAAGAGCACTAGGATAGATTAGAACAGATGAAAATGCTTTTCAAAGCTTGTTCCAAATTTTGCTTTTCCTCGGCGGCTATAGTTTCGTTTCGCGTTCCCACTCTTTCGCCTATTCAGCTACCGCGGATTGTGACCATGGGGTTGGTGATTTTGGCTAACCTACTTACTTGTTGTTCTTTTGTACGTTTGCTTACAAAGCAGCGTGCTCTAACGCTTGTGGATCTCACAATGTTCACAGAAATTGCTGTTGCTAAAAGCCTCTCTATAAGGCCCATACAAGCTCATTACAAGCGCTATTGACTCATCTCCCGCCAGCTGCGACATTAAAGCCGCACTCTCGACTAGAAAGCGATGACTGGCTTTCAATGTAGGAATGCAGCGAGTAAAGCGAAAATGCGGCAAGTGCCCTACCGCTGATCGAATCTCTTTTTGGGATACGCCACGCAATCTGCTTCAAGTCGCAGTGAGTTGTGGAACGTGATATTACAATGGCTTGCGGAAGCCACGGGTGAACGTCAGTGTATCTATTCTCCGTACGAATGAGTCTAGTGCCAATTCCCCTCTCCTGAAGGGATACTCCACGACACCAGTGAGCGGAGTCGTCGAGGGCGGATTCAAGTGTAGTACATAGTAAAAGTGTTGTCAAGGGTCTATCTGTCAAAATAGACGGAAACTGTGAAAAACTACTATAACATCTATATATAGTGTAAAATGCGTCTGGTAAACGGTGTAAATTGTGTCGCGGCAAAAGGGGCGGAGTTATCTGGGGGGGGGGCATGTAGCGTAATGTAATGTCTGCAGAAGATGTGTGTGAAGGGCTCTTGGTGCAAAATTTGCAAAAAGAGCCGCTTCGCGGAAAAATTATGAGTAATTGTTAAGTAATAGGTAATAGTGAGTAATAAGGCTGGACTTCTGATAGCCCTGCCGGGAGCGGATCTGTGAATAGATCCTCGGACCGCGCCCGTGATATGCAGGCCGCTTGCCACTACATCACCCCGCTCATACAGCGGATAGCGAGTTGTATTGCTTGTATTTTTGTATTCCATTTATCTATGACAATCACTTAGACTGTGGTGAACTGAAATGAACATGAACTGAAGCACAATAGTTGATCGTTCTTTCGAAAACAAGTATTTTTGTACGGCTGGCACATTGCGGCGACTGCATCGAAGGATTTCGGTGAAAAACGCGACATATCTTAGAAAAGATCTGGCTGACGACTGGTGTGAGATCTATATCTCGGTAAACCATTGCTGAGGGTCAATGTACAGCAATGTTGACAGCATCTTTACATGGCGGCAAAAATATGTCTGCGATATTTATCCGTAGCAATGAAACAATGCAAAATCTAGGCTTCGGTCAGAAATAACTCATCGCGCTACACTTGGGAGGTTCGCCTGTGTCGTTATTATGTGTCATCCACACGAAGAGGTGAAAGGCACGGTCCGCGATGAGAAGCTCATTCAGAGATAAAGAAGACAACTTGTCCTTGTAAAGAGAAAATAGCGGGAACGTCGGAAACGCCCCTAATAGGACCACTCCAGTCTCAGACAGTTGTACGGGTAAAAGGCCGAAAGACCGCGTGTTGAATCGCATCCAGTCGGTTCATTCTTCCTAATAGGCCCTATGACTCCGCAAGAGACTATGGAGCATCTCCCTTTCATGCTACTAGCATCGCTTTTGGCTGGAAGGCGGGCTTTGAAGGCGGAGTCTGGAGGCGGAGTCACTGGAAAAAGGGAGGTGTCACTGAGGCAACTTTGCGTCAACTCCTTTACCTTACAACTTTCCGCCGCAAAACTGGCACAGGGTTGTCAACCGCGGACCGCGCTAACCTCCCACACAATTTTTGCATTTTCATAGGTCATCGCGGACCGTTCCTTCAAAAGCACATCTCGTGGTTACGGAACCTGGGCAGTAGGGTCCATATAGCGAATCTGAAGGTGCTGAACAACTTCGCCGTGGAGAGAAAGCAGAAAACCATGGGAAAGTCCCTGGAAGACGACTTTTCTTTCGAGCACTTCACGGGTATAAAGACAGCGCGTGACGATGAGAGGCCATACAAACGCGTTGCGATAGAGCACAGCAAAATTTGGGATGCACGTAGGTAAGATGGATAAGGGGGAAGGGGTGGGTCGTGCCAGTTCCTGTGGAGAGGTGGTTGTATTTAGCAAAAATTATCCCCACCGGGAGGACGCGCCTTACATGGACTTAACGACTCTCATAAATCATCCAAACTTTTTTTAGATACCAGTCCCGTTCCACTTATTGTTAGTTGATACCATAAATTCTGATTCAGAAATCCAGATAAGAGCTTGTTTCAGATGAGATTCGCACCGGCGCCTTTTCGGGGCTTTTTCATCCAGATCAGATCATCAGCGGAAAAGAGGATGCAGCAAATAATTACGCAAGAGGACATTATACTATTGGCAAGGAATTAATAGATACTGTACTTGAACGGATCAGAAAACAGGTAGGATTCCTACACTGCTCTGTGACAAGTTGACTTTCTAGAAAAGAGGTTCAGAAGAAAAGTATTTTTTTAGACAGAAAACTGCATGGGACTCCAAGGTTTTCTCGTTTTCCATTCATTTGGTGGCGGTACTGGTAGCGGATTTAGCTCTCTACTTATGGAACGATTGAGTGTTGAGTACGGAAAGAAAAGCAAGCTTGAATTCAGGTAGCTTATCTATTCCAACGATTCCTCACTGGTTCTGTGCGGCGGCTGGTTCTGGTTTTAAATTTTGCTAATTTTGATTCTTTTCCAGTATTTATCCGGCCCCACAAGTAAGCACTGCAGTCGTGGAGCCGTACAACTCTATCCTGACCACTCACTGCACCTTGGAGCACTCAGATTGCTCTTTTATGGTCGATAACGAAGCTATTTACGACATCTGCAGAAGAAATCTCAATGTTGAGGTATAATATGACTCCTTCGCTTCCTACAATCGAAAGCCACCTGAGACGGTCAAGCCTACTTCGCGGAATCCGCGACGGGGTGGGCATATTTGCAGAGATGAGTGCACAGCACCGACGTAGGTTGCAGGATGGGTGATGCGTTGGGAAAGGAAGTCTTGTACATGGCGTGTTCTATGGAGGTGTTGATCAACGCCTCTGTGGTGCAGTTCCTATCCATTAGATGAGGAGGACGCGTACAGGAGGCCTCCCGAGCTTCCTAGGTGGAAATGTGGGCTTTCCAGTGTAGGAGATCCTCATGCTGCAGCTGAATCTGACTTTCAATTGGAAATCCGCGACGGGCGAATTTTTGCTATTATTGAGTTAAAGCAAAGCTGTAGAGAAGCCCCACACTTCAAAAGCCCCACTCCTAAAAAAGCTATCACCCCAAAAAGCCCCGCGATTTCCACCCGGCCAACAGATCTGCTCCACCGCTAATTTGCCATGGAATCATAACGCGGCCGCAAGCGCTTGCGAGTCGTTACGTATCTAATCCTTCTCGTCAGAGCAAACAATTAGAGCCGGAAAGGGAGGGGGTCGTACCAGGATCCTTCTCCGGGGTGGGGTCGTGCTGACACCGCTATTTCACACATCACGATGCTGTACCCTGCATGCACGCTCGATGAAACCTGTAGTGTATTTCGTATAGCCTAGCCATACAACTCGAATCGTGGTTACCGCTCTGCGAAGGTTTCTGTATGATTATTTCGTGCGACTGTAAGAGTTTACGCACCCGTTCATTTCTGATTTTATGGTCTGGAAATGCAAGTTACGGTATTTTAGCGTCCATCATACGTCAACCTCAATCGCCTCATTGCACAAATCGTTTCTTCGATAACTGCATCGCTTCGTTTCGACGGTGCACTGAATGTGGACCTAACCGAATTTCAGGTATGGCGGTTTAACCTTAACTTCAGCAGTATTTGCCAAGTTTTATAACATAAGTTGCTTGCAGACCAACCTTGTGCCCTACCCACGGATCCATTTTCCCCTTGCCACTTACGCTCCAGTGATATCCGCAGAAAAAGTAAGATCCTTCTTTATATGTACTCTAGTTCGCAGCGGATGAGAGGGCGTGTCAGGCCGTATGAGTGCGCCACGGCTTCAAGCCCGTTCTCTGCCGGTTGTTGAAGCTGGTGTGCGACAACAACTGGTGGACGAGAGTGATAGGACGAACATTGATACAGCTTGTCACGTGCTTGCCCTTCAACAACTAGTCAGGAGGGTGTTGCACCGCGCCAAACTCATTCCACATTAGCACGCCCTTGCCATATATTATAATGCCTGTCGGTGGCGTTTACACGATAGCGCCACCAAGTCTTCCCCGATTGTGCTTCTTTGAATTTTATTTACTTTTAGGCCTATCATGAGCCACTGTCTGTGCAAGACATCACAAATATGTGTTTCGAGCCATGCAATCAAATGGTAAAGTGCGATCCACGAACTGGAAAGTACATGGTATAAGCGTTTCAATCGACCTTTTGAGAATTGCTTTATTGCCGCAATAACCAGGCAGTCTGTCTTCTCTATCGTGGTGATGTAGTCCCGAAAGACGTCAATGCCGCAATCGCCTCCGTGAAGACCAGAAGAGGAATCCAATTCGTCGACTGGTCAGTTCATTCTTCTCTTTTTCTTTGATAGTTTGCTGAAGACTCGATCTGGATACATGATTAAAAATTCACCAGATGGAGATCCGGTTAGCCTCTTTTCCGAGGTCAACAAAAGGAGCTTGGCTAAATAGGAGGTCGTTGTAGCGTTCCCTTTCGTCGCCTGAACACTCACACGGACGCACCCCATAACCCCATCTCCCCCTCCGCTCGGAAGCTGAATTCTCTGTGTGACATGCCACACCTCACGCATTACGATTGCTGCTTCTCGAGCAACGGCATACTTTATTTATTGCTTTAGCCGAACTCGGCAAAAGTTTTTGAAGCTCAGCGAAACCCGCCACCTCCCCTTTTCGAGCGTGAACGTCATCACGTTAAACGTTAAAGGCACAGAAGTCACTGAGTTGAATGTAAGAGCGGATAGCACACCATCCCGATGATGTGAGGCACAAAAACATTCCCAACTGGTGTCGGACTTCTGCCCCGTTGCTAGGCATTCTTATTCATAAGTCATAACTTCGACGGAAGTCACTAAGCATAACAGTAATTTGCTTAAGGTGCCCAACAGGCTTCAAAGTTGGAATAAACTATCAGCCGCCAACAGCTGTTGAAGGAGGAGATCTTGCTAAGGTAAGCGAGAATTTCTAACATCTCCACATGTTCAAGTACCAACAATCCACTCCAATGCTACCTTGTTCATAGACGTGTTATGGGGTATTGTAATTCTGTGCCGCATACCAGTCCTACCAAACAAGTAAAAGACACGAAGTGCTGTTCATAAGGAAGCCGTACGTCCTTCGCCTGTGTGTTAAGCTCCACTGCTATCCTTGAACAACGAGGGAGAAGTGCAGACGCGCCACCCGGGCTTATAAGACGGGTATAACCACAATTACACTATCACGTTAGATTGTTTCGATTGCTAGATCAGTTCCCTGGCTTCAGCGTTCGGCTACTTCCTGTCCCTCCCCTTATTAGACGCACTGATATGGAGGAACTTCTGAACTTTTTGCGGACGAACTTCTAAACGGACCAAGTCTCAGCAGAAGAGTTTTCGGAAACATTTTCCATCATTTTATCATCTGTGTTGCAGCTGCTGTGAATTTCCAGAGATTTGGAGTTTACTGCTTACACTTCTCGCTGATTGCATGAACCGCGGACAAGCTCACTGATTCTACCTTTCGTGCTTGCTACTTCAGTTTGCCAGGACCCAAATATTTTCATGATCGCTTGTTACCACTGTGAGAGCTACAGGCTCAATAAGTAAGCTACCAAGCGGTAGATGAGGTCCCCGCCGCTCTTCTAATAGCATGGCACTGGATTTGGAGTTCAAATTCCGTGTGGGTTTGAATCTCCCCTCTGAAACATTGCTCCTCTTCGATTTCGCCTTCATTACCTGTGCTAAGCTGTCCAGCAGTGAGTCAATGATTGCATGACAAATGGACCATTGTCTCCGGGCATGGAAGGGGCGTGGCCTGCCAAGTCCTCAATCTCGAATGTGCGTTGTTGCGGCGCTTTGCGGGATGTTGCCGCTTTTGAAACTGCTGCTAATGATGTCTTTGTCCAGCACAAGAGAGCTATGATGCACAGTTTTCTCAAACGCGAAATATTCCTACGAAAAGCTTTGCATAACATGCCATGTTGAAAGAACAATGCCAGTCACGCCCTCCCTATATGTGAACCCCGCAACAAGCTAACAGTTGCCTAATTTGAAATCCGACGTGGTCCACGGGAGAATATGCTGAGTTCCTGGTGGAGTACGGTGGGAGCTGTGCTGGAAACTCCTATCAGCTAATATTACAAGCAATGCGTAACCCTGCAGCTGATAGTTCGATAGCTACTGAAGGAAAAGTTATACGTTCACTGTGTCATAATCTTGGGAACGTTTGTTCCCCATAACTCGATAGAAATCTCTTGGAAAAAATTAAACTGATTCTTGGCAATGATCTGAGCTTCTTTTTTACCTTCCTGCGCGGAACCCCACCTTGAATGACCCTCCTAGTCCCCTTTCTAGCTCACTTTCTTGAGAAGAAATCTTACTCTGAGGAACGTTATGGTCGAAGAAATGCTCCTTGAAATAACAGGAGCACTGCCCAGAAGAGCACGATACGCTGCTTTGAAATAACAGGCGAGCGCTGCCAAGAGCAGCAGATAACCGTTGCTTCCAACGGCTTTCTCATCGGCGGCAGATGGTTAGTAACAGGAACGGATGTTTATCTCTAACCATGATTCTACTGTTTTCTGCTCTATCAGAACAAGTATCAAACGAAACAGCTTATTAAAATTGACATTGAACTAGACTTAGTATAATCGGAATTGTAATAGGCGTTTCCCCCCCCCACCACTCGCAAGGACTGCCGAAAAACTTCTCAATTGTCAATACGAAGTCTTCTTGGCAAGTCACTTCAATGATCGTAACATGAGCTTGTGCGCAAGAGTCGGTCTCATTCTCTCCAATTCAATTTTGTTCTTGCTTTTCATCGAATTTGGTCCTAATGCAAGTTCGGTCCAGATATTGAGGATGATATTTGTTTGAAGTATAACCTCAGCCCTTTTCATCCACAAGTTTCTCTTCTTCTCTCCTTATATGTATTTAGTATCTGCTTCAACACAGCTGCGTCATAACTGCTACAGTTTCGACATAATGCAGGAGAATGTTCATAAGCTCTGCACATCTTTATTGATAGAAATCGCACAGATGAGCGAATTACGAATTGTTTCTTTTGGCGATACTTTCATCAATCGCAGTTACCAATGGGTCCAGGTACTGGTAGAACAAATAATGAGCACCTTTTGTCTGAGGCAGAAAGAGGAACATGAGAAACGCCACCTGAAATCGTATCACTTTTTCACCATCCATTCTGTGCATGATGCATCTCTTGTTGGTGGGCGGGGCTAGCTCGTGGGTGGAGCTTTCGCATAAGGGTATTGAAAGAGATTGCCGTATGACACCGTCATTGAATATTGCCATGTTGTGAAAACGGTGATTATGTATTTGTCAAGCACTATGCAGAATCTTGAATGTCTCAAGAGGAATCGTGCCACGACAAACGCATTCCACACCACGTTCACATGAAGCACGCAGCCACGCCCACTCCATCTCCGAGTTATGAAGTGTAATCGGTCTATTCGGCCGCTATGTTCAGAGGATTGATACTTATCGATTCAACATAGTTGACATTTCTACTGGATAAAGACACACCTTGAACAGCCAGTAAAATGGGAACCATTGCATGATTGAACCAGCAAAGAAATCGATGATCGAAAAAGCAGCAAATACACACCAATAGATGAGCCATTGTGTGTCATCTTTCGTGTCTTGGGTTCGTACTGCCTTGAAATGACTATCGTGCAAATAGATTGATTGAGCGTGCGAACATACAAGTCAGCCTGTGCTCATACTTTGCGGCAGCGTCCACCAGCGACCAGTAGCGTCCACCAGCGTTCCAAGCGTCCGGCAGCGTCAGCGACTGGGAAAGTGTAGATATCGATCTAGCGTCCACCAGCGTCTTCCAGCGCCCGGTAATGGAGAGTACGGGGGAAGAGGGGAAGGGTCGCAGACAGCTGGTAGAGAATGGGCAGAGAAGTGAGGCAGACTGCTGGAAGACTGGCAGAGAGTATGGCGCGACTGAAGGGTAGAAGACAGCTGGTACAGTCTTCCTCTCCCTAG